GGAAAACAAGCATTGAGTTCAAGCATCCAAGGACATGGAGGGAGATGAGGGGGTGCTGGTGGCTGGGGCAACATCTGGGACTGAAGTAGGGTTGCCAGCCTCCAGGTGGGACCCGGGGATCCTCCAGAATTACAGCCCATCTCTGGAATATAGACATCTGTTCCCCTGGAGAAAATGGATGCTCTGGAGCGTGGGCTCTATGGCACTGCACCCCACTGAGGTCTCTGCCCTCCCCAGGCTCCACCCTCAAATCTCCAGGCGTTTCCCGGCCTGGAGCTGGCAACCCTACCTCCCCATCCCCTGTTAGTGGCCAGGGGGGACCTGGCAATCCTAGATTGAAGACAAACATTTTGGAAGATGGAAAGAGAAAAAAAACAGTGGAGCGGTGGGTGTTGCCTTCTGACACACTTCTGGTGATGTCAGGGGGTATGGCATATGCAAATAAGTTATGCTAATAATTTATGCTAATGAGCTGCTGCACCTTTTTTTCTACGAAATGACCCCTGGGTGCACACACATTTCTTTTGTTTTCCCTCTGTCTTGGGTCAAGCACATTTGGAGAAGGGCTGCGGCTCAGTGGAAGAGCCCTTACTTTGAATACGGAGGGTCCCGGGCTCAGTCCCCGGCCTGCCTAGTTGAAAGGGTCTCGAGCAGAGGTCATTTTGGGGGGGATCGCAGTTCCCCCGGGTGAGGTACGGGGGGCAGAGCACATGACGAAACCCCCCACCCCCCTGCTTCCGGCCGCTCCGCTTCCGGCCCTCACTCAGCCAGGAGGAGGCAGGAGAAGAGGGAGGGTAAGTTGCTTCCTCCCTGCCTCTCCCCACCCCTGCCTGCCTGGGGCCAGGGAGGGCCTTCGCGGGGCTTCCTCGCACTCCCGCCGGCCTTGCAGGTCCACCGCCGGGCCCCTCATGGGGCTCGGCAGTGGAACTGCAAGGCCGGTGGCCAGGACCGTTGGGGGCGGGGTGTGTGGCCTTATGACCCACTTCCGGTGATGTCAGGGGGTGTGGCCTTATGACACACTTCCGGTGATGTCAGGGGTGTGGCATATGCTAATGAGTTATGCTAATGAGTTCCCCTAGCTCTTTTTCTACAAAACAACCTCTGGTCTCGAGCACTCAGGCTGTCAAAGGCTCTTCACTGGCCCCAGACCTGGAAGGGCAGCTGTCAGAGTGGACATTGCTGAGCTAGGTAGACCATTGGTGTTAGGCTGGTTTTTGTACCAGTGCAGGAAGCCGGGTCGCCAGAGGTGAAAGCGAGATAGGTGGACGCTCCTCTTTCAAGCACCTTGTGACTCTCTGAAAGAAAGAACTGCTTCCAGTTTGGGACTTACCGTATTCAAAATTTTCATCTTTATGATGTTTAATATCTGTGGAAAGAGAGAGAAAGGCCTTTTGTAGCATGTCTGCATTTTGAGCACAGGGCCTCACATCCCTGTGACATGCTATCTGCAAACGCCTCCAACGCAAAGGTCTCAAGCAAGCAACAGTTCCTTGCCCCCCTTTCCCCAGGCTTCTATTTACCTTCTTCCTTGTCCAGCTTGACAACTGAGGAGCGTTCTGGGGAAGAAAAAAAACAAAACACAAACCACCTGATCACTTAGACCGGAGCCACAAGTAGGGCTGCCAAGTGGGACCGGGGGGCGGGTAAACCCCCACTTTAGAGGACCGATTTCCGCCACTGCGGAATCGGTCACCAGGGGGAACTCCGCCCCCCGAAGCGCAGCGTGGCTGCGTCACCAGAGGTGACACAACCACGTCGACCACATTGGGGGCGTAGCCCGGATCATCGGAGGGAAAACTCTATGGTTTTCCCTCCGACGATTGGGGCCATGCCCTCAACGTGGTCAACGTCTTGTGTCACTTCCTGTGATGTGCTGGCAGCGCGTGCGCACATCCGGAGACAGCTCCCGGAGTTTTTTGGACTTGGCAACCCTAGCCACAAGGGACCATTTGCTTATTCAGCCTGGTCTTGATATTGGTGGCCCCAAGCCCGAGGGGTGGATCCGTATACTCACGTCTGGTATTCAAGGATCTCCCCCTGCTGCTGGTACTACTCGTACTGCTGCCTTCAGTTGTGATCGCTTCGATGGTAGATGCCACTGCAAAGTCAAAGAAAGGGAACGTGGTTGGTACACACAGAGGGGCTGTGTGGCGATGGAGAGTGCCTTCAGGTCACAGCTGACTTATGGCGACCTTGTGGGGTTTTCAGGGCAAGAGAGGAACGGAGGTGGTTTGCCATTTCCAGCTAGGGTTGTCATTCCTCCGGTGGGGCCAGGGGATCTCCTGATTTTGGGGGCCCCAATCCACCCCCGAGAAACCCCCTCCTGGCACCTTCGGCGCCAGCATGATGGTGTCACCTGGAAGGTACGCCATCGTGTTTCAGCTGTTGGGGGTGACACTCCAGCTTTGGGGCAAAACTCTATGGTTTTGAGGCCAAAAAACCCATAGAGTTTTGCCCAAAACCTAGAGCATTGCTCCCAACGTTGGAAACACGATGACGTCACTTCTGGGTGAACCAGAAGAACTCAAGGAAGAATCGGGAGCCCCCCCCCCCACTGGCAGCGAAAACTATTGCCAGCTTCTGTAGAGCAACCCTGGACTTCCTTGGTGGTCTCCCATCCAAGTACTAATCAGGGCTGAGCCTGCTTAGCTTTGGAGATCTGATGATGTCAGGCTAGCCTAGGCTAGTCTTGCCACCACCATGGCTAAATGAATGTAGGCGAATAAAGCCTGCTTGTTTTTTTAAATAGACTTTAAACTACGTATGTGGGATGGCTGGAAACCTCACACTCCATTCTTTTTCAAAGGTCACCTATGCATGTGCGTTCTTACCCATTCATCCTTAGCATTCAGAGAAGAGAGGGAGTATAAACCACTTTCATACAATTGCAGATATTACAATGAAGGTAACCCGAGGCTCCAAAGACTTTGTGGGCTCCTGCACTAGTTCTGGGCATATCCACTGGATGTGTCTTGGTCTCCCTTTTGGAGAGGAGAAATCCTTTTCAGCTTCAGAAGCGTCAAACACAAAACCAGTTTGACCAAAGCTGCAGTAGGCTGAGAAACCAAAAATTGCATTGTTGGCAGTGATGATGATGTCAAATCTCCACTGATTGTCTGGAAATGTTATTTGTCTTGAGCAAGATTGTTCTGTAGAAGGTGGTCTTAGATTCTCTCTACTTGAAGTAATTATTGCACAATCAGAGAAAAATTAGCCCAGTAAACAGTTGGCATCAGGGCTCTTTTTGTAGAAAAAGCCCAGCAGGAACTCATTAGCATAATAGGCTACACCCAACAGCAGGAACTCATTAGCATATTGGGCCACACCCCTGACAGCACAGCTCATTAGCACATTAGGCCGCACCCCCATGTTACCAGAAGTGTGGTTATCCAGCCACACCCACCTTTTGCTTCTTATTCTGTTGACCTTGTTTGTTGTCAAAACGGTGAGTCCAGGGCTCTTTTTGTAGAAGGAACCCCTTTGCATGTTAGGCCACACACCCCTAATGTAGCCAATCCTAATGGGTTTCTGCTGTTGGGTGTGGCCTATTATGCTAATGAGTTCCTGCTGGGCGTGGCCAACTCAAGAGCCAGCCGGAACTCCGTTCCTGTGCGTTCCTGCCCAAAAATAGCCCTGGTTGGCATACTAGCAAATTGACTGGTCAAATACTCTGACCTGGATAGCTCAGTTGACTGGTCTCATCATATCTTGAGAAGCTAAGAGAGGTTGGTCCTGATTAGTACTTGGATGGGAGACCATCAAGGAAGTCCAGGGTTGCTATGTAGAGGCAGGCAATGGCAAACCACCCCTCTTTGCCTCTTGTGGACTCACCATAACTTGGCTGCAACTCGATGGCAATTTACACACACATATTTTTCAGATAGAACAAAAGTTGAGTCCTGTGGCACCTTTAAGACCAACAATTCTAGGTATAAGTTTTGATGTGCAAGCACACTTCTTCATGTACGGTGTGCTCGCACACGAAAGCTTATATCTTGAATAAAACTTTGTTGGTCTTAAAGGTGCCACTGGACTTAAGTTTTGTTTTACTGCTTCAGATCAAATTGGCTACCCACTTGGATATATTTTCAGATAGTTCACGAAACCAGGAATATCTATGTGTAGGTGGACATTTTTATTTTCATTTCATTATGGTGTTATTCGCTAGCAACAGCTGCTTTTATTTTGGTTTATTTCTGATTTAATCTCATTATTTAAAAACACATGACGGCTGGTTGGTATTTGGGGGCAAACACCAAGGAGACCTTTTCAATAATTTGTCTACATTTATAGAAATCTTAATTAACATTGTTAACACTTCCATTTATTCATTTTTTTTAAAAAAAAAACCCATTTCACAACCATTGTTAACTAATTAGTCTTTTTTAATTAGCGTAAATCTCAAACTTGTTACTGATTAAAGCATCCTTTTGTGGTTCTAATAAAGTTAATATTTTTTTAAAAAAACACCTCACCTTTTTTGGCAATAACTGACAATACTTGACTTGTCAACAAACCAGACTTTTTTTTTTTTTTACCAACAAGAGGCTCAACTTTAAACCAGCGAAACTTTGTTCTTGGCAGAATGTTCCCCTAATCCAGTGCCAGGACTTTGATATCCTGTCCTCTGTAGTGGGCAGGGCAGGGCTCACATATCTACCCTTTTTTTAACAGGAAAAGAAGCCTCTGGCACAGGGGAACTGACCACCTAGACTTCAAACATCAGATTCAAGCTTGTAAATCATGACCAATGCTAATGCATTGAACTGAATATATTCCTGCATAATACATGCACATGTATTCATAAATAGCCTCAGCAACCCTTGGTTTGTTATGACTGGGGACCCGAAAATGAAATGCCTAGGAATAACAAATGATATGATTAAGAATACAGAAACTAAAGACATTCTAAGACAAATTTAAAAATGTCTAAAGACGTTGGATGTTACAGGTATGTCTATTAGGGCGTGCAGGTTGTGTTTGACACTCCATTTGGAAAT